CGCTCGAAGAAGTGGATCCTCGAGCGCTCCTTGGCATGCTCTTTAAGGGGGGTTTAGGGTTAAGGGTTTAGGGTTAAGGGTTTAGGGTTTAGAGTTTAGGGTTAAGGGTTTAGGGTTAAGGGTTTAGTTTTTAGGGTTTAGAGTTTAGGGTTAAGGGTTAAGGGTTTAGGGTTTAGAGTTTAGGGTTAAGGGTTTAGGGTTTAGGGATGTTCAGGGCTGTGCATAAGCTCAAACTAGCCACAGAGCCTTATACAGTAAGGCATTTGGGCCCTATGAGTCCTTAGAGCCGTTGGGCAAGGATTTAGGAATGTTTGGGATTGTAGGCTTTCGGGTGTAGGAATTATACACCAGCGGCTTTAGGGCAAACTAGTAGTAGGCACATGTACTGTTAGGGTTATGCCAATGGGTGTTTACAGGATTTCTTGAGGGCTTCATAGGGGCTTTCAAAGGGCTTACGCTTTAAGGCTGAACTCAGGAGTGCAATATGCACGAAATACTATGGAACAATTAGTAGCACTATTCCCTGATTGTACCTGCAACACACCTAGTCTAATCACTAAGGCCGCGATAGTGTAGAACCCTTACAGCAACATGAAAGCAGCCCATTTCTAATTATGAAGGCCCCTGATCTAAGCCCTACGTAGCACCTAACCAAATACTGTAAACCCTTCAAGGAACCCTTACACCCACAACCCTTGAAAGGACCCAGAAATTTGATCCCTAAAGTTCCTATAAAGCTCCCTTAGGGCCTTTGGGTTTAGGGTTTAGGGGGGTTCCCACCCATGCAATTTTGGGGGGTCTGCTTTTTGGAGCCTAAACCCTAAACCCTAAACCCTAAACCGAAAACCCCTAAACCCTAAACCCTAAACCGGGTGATCCAGGCTTAGTGGAGGCCGGTGCTCTGTCCAGCTTCAAGCCCGGTCCGCCAGCCGATGCCTGGATGACGGAGCCCAGGGGCTTTCTTGCGGTTTCTGGTGGTGATTGAACTCGAACTCAGAGACTCCAATATCCCTTAATTAAGGAATATACCTTATAAGTCATATTCGGGATCGTACTATAATTTAAGGTATATTCCTTAATTAAGGGATCTTGGAGTCTCTGGGAAGTTTATAGAAAGAGAGAGAGAGAGAGGCGCACAGGGGGTTTATGCGGCGTTAGAGCCAACAGGTTAGGTTTTATTGCTCGGGGATGTTAAGACGGTGTTTTGGCAGAGCTGAACTTCGGGGGTTCCTTATTCTAGTTATAGTATAGTATACCCCAAAACCCTATTCTAATGATTAAGGCCCGCTGAGACTTTTATGAAGGGTGTTGACGTTCCAGGACAAGAAGTGGCAACACCGAAGAAGGGAGGCTCAATTAAATGCTACGGCGAAGCCCTGAAGCCGTCCATTCAGCCTGAAACCCGAAACCCTAAACCCTGAACTCCTAAACTCTAAACTAGCCCTAAACTCCTGAACTCCTAAACCCTAAACCTTAAACTCCTAGACGCTAAACCCTAAACCCTAAACTCCTAAACCCTAAACCCTAAACCCCAAACTCCTAAACCGTACACCCTAAACTTTAAACCCCTTAAAGGAGCCTGAGAATCCTGACGCCGGTGGTGGGCTGCGGGGGAGCAGCCCGGCACAGCTGCCGCAGCTACGTTTGGCGCTCTGGATCTTGCTTTGGGTGTTCGGGTTCCTTGTGCCTTCGGGCCTGGGGTTTGGCCGTGAGTGAGAGGGCTTTAGGGTTTAGGGGTTTAGGGGTTTAGGGTTTAGGGCTAGGATGTCAGTTTTGGGGGTGTTCTTTCAGGGGGTAGGGCTACCTGAAGCCAAATACTCCATTCTTTTCAGGGACATACAAAGAAATCAAAACATGGGGCCCTTACGGGCTACCTCAACCGCAAAGAACTTACTTTTTCAAGGACTGATATCAAGAAACCAAAAGAAGGAGCCCCAAAAAGGTGGGTTTTATAGGGCTCAGGTAGGGCTAGGGGCCCTAAACTCTAAGCCCTAAACCCTAAATCCTAAACCCTAAACCCCTAAACCCTAAACCCACATTGGGGTGCCCCTCTTCCGTTGTGATCCAAAGGTTGCTAAGTAATGTAGGGGCCTTCATCATAACCGATACTATTTTGGAGGTTCCTTATTATAGTTATAGTATAGTATATACCCCAAAACCCTAATATAGTTATTAAGGACCCTTTGTTACCCAATAATCAAGTATTTGGGTTTCGGATACTATAGTTATGTAGGGTAGATATGATGATGAGGTACTTGGACCCTTAGCTCTACTGTAAAGCCTCCATAACACACGAAGTTACACGAAGCCCTCGTCTGCAACTACTGTAATTAACGGTTCATGGGAAGTAGTAGTAAGGTTGAGACGGGTAAATCGCCAGTATGAGGATTAGGTGACCGATTATGCCCCATAAATATCAGTGCAGGAGGGACCCAGCGTATATCCCGGATGGTATCCCTATCCAAGTCTCACGGAACTGCTCAGGACGTGGGTAGTCCCTTTTTAGGTCACCAAAATAGTACGGCACCCTTACAAAAAGGACCCTACAAGGGACCCTAATTTAGAGAACTACCCGCATGTTGCTTCACGGTCCAGCGTGCACGGCTTGGGTGGGTTTAGCAGGCTGCCTTATGGTTTCGTGACCTCGCTTAAGGGGCACAAGCCAAGAGTTAGATCTATAGAGTGGGTTAGGGTTTGGGGTTTAGGGTTTGGTTTTCCTGTCTAGGTTCACATACCGTGCTTCAAACACCCCTGACCGATGGCCCGTCATTCCCAAAACCCTCAGAGCCTGTAGTGCTGCAGATTTCAGATCAAGACGCGTTGAGAGTGGAGGAAGGTGCGGGAAGGGGCCATGATCCATGTCCCCTGGTTGCAAGAAGGTTTGGTGTTTCGGGTTTGGGGGTCAGTATATATAGAGTTGGGATTTAGGAAGCTTGGCTTATAGGATGGTTCGAAGGGGGTTCAGCTTTTGTTTGGGATCTTGGAGTGGAACATGCTTTATGAAGGCTTTTGGAATGCATGGAATATGCTAGATTCTGCTAGAGCCTGCCCCAGCCATTGCCTATTTCTCAACAGAAGGCGCCATGCTTGTACCAAGAAACCTAAAATGGACCCGAATTTGGAGACTGATCTTAATCGTCCCATGTGGATCATGTTGTGATATGTCTGCATCACCAAAACACAGAACACACACACAAACACACACACACACACAAACACACACACACACACACATGCATGCCACATGTCCGACAAAGCCAGTTCCCCAGCCCCACAAAGCAAAATCCACCAGTCCTGAAGCCCTGAAACAGAAACCCCAGTCGCATCACTTTCCGGGAGCGTTAGGGCTATTTGATCTTGCCTTCAATGTACCTGTGACTTAGAGGACGCGATAAATCTGAGGTTGCTCTCAAATCCCAATCGCTCACACACCCCCACGTCTTGTCTTGCAGTCTGATTAGTGATATGGGTAGTTGTCAAAATTATGGTCCCTTTTGGGGTACCCTAAATAATAGGTGCCGTATTATAATAAGGACCCAAAAAGGGACCATAATTTTGACAACCACCCATATAACCACACCTCATCGTAAAGTATTGGGTTCGAGGGTACGCAGAGTCGAACCTTAGCCCTGGCTTCCTGCGCCTCGACGCCTGTAAACCGTAAACTCTCACCCCGAAATCCTCAAACGGTTCAGGGTTCAGGGTTTTAGGGTTTAGGGTTTAGGGTTTAGGGTTTAGGGTTCAGGGTTTTACTTAGTCCCGCACTGAAAATCTCAGACGAGCCTGGTTTTGGCTACAGGCTTCGGGATTTTCGCTAAGTGATCCTTAAACCAGAGCTACATGAATGTCCAACCTATACACTTCAACAAAATCCCAGTACTGTCCATGTGTCTTTATTGATCACCTTGAGCCGGTTTATTAAAAAAACATCATGTTCGAGCGCGATGTTGACCCGGGCTGCAGACCCTAAACTATAACCCCCTAGGTTTTCAGCCCTCACCTTTGGGTTTAGGGTTTAGGATCCCAAGAGTATGGAGCATGGTGGTGAAGCTTGGTGAACCTTTACATCCCAAAGAGGGGGGGAAGTCCCCAAAGCGCTGCTGATGCATTCGCTTAGAGATGCTTTACTTCTGGCGACGAGCACCTCAACCATAAACCCTAAACCCTTAAACCCTATAGGCCCTACACTTTAATCCCCAAGTGCACGGTTGCTCAGACACGTTCTCCATTCCCATGACATAACAAATCACGGGTGCTGATTCCGTTCTAATCTATTCTTAGCGAACCACCAAAGGATCAGTGGGTCATGGCATGGTGTATACCCAGATGTGCCAATATCATTGCCTATAAAGGAATATGCTTTAAGTCATAGTAGAACCCCTACTAATTGTCATTTAAGGAAGGTTCCTTAATTGAGGGATTTTGGAAGATCTGGGTACTAGGGCAACTGCATCCTCCGCGGCTTTGAGGTTTTCACATGTGCCAAAGAAGTCTGCGCGCTGCCGGGGAAAGCGTGCATCGAATGCGGCAAGGCGCCATGCAGTTGTGCAGCCACCTCTTAAGGTTCACAGGTACATAGGGCATACTAGCATAACGCGGCTGCCGTATAGGGCTGTAGGATGTCAGTGTTTGGGGCTCCAGTGCTGTGCGGTTTAGGGTGTTCAGAGAGTGTTTGAGTTTGTGCTTCACGCCTAGGGACATTCGAGTTCTTAGCAACTTGAAAAACTATGGAAGTCACAAGCATCCTGAACCATTTACATTCTTCAAATGTCAGTACCGCACATCCCAAAACAGAAGCAAAACCCTCAGCCCAGCAGAAGCCTAGCAGAACACCCTCCAGAGAAATCCCGGCAGGTTTGCAGCAAAATTGACTGCGAGCCCTGCAGACAGGTCTGCACTGTGCCTCGGCTAGGGGGGCAAGCAGGGATCCTGCGTCAAAATACCATGTGCTTTCAGGGCCTAAAATAGTAAGCCCTATAAGCCCTAAACCCTAGAACCTATAGAACCCTAAACCCTAAAAAACAAAGAACCCCAAACCCTATGCTGTAGAACCCTAAACCCCCAACCTAGAACCTGTAGAACCCTAAACCCTACACCCAGACTTTGGCTTTGAAAAACTGCCTATAAGGAACCCTTCACAAGGCCGAAGTCTAGTACACCAGAAGTTTTAGGGTTTAGGGTAAGTTTTAGGGTCCATAGGGTAAGTTTTAGGGTTTAGGGTAAGTTTTAGGGTTTAGGGTAAGTTTTAGGGTTTAGGGTTTAGGGGTTTGGAGTTAGGGTTTATAGGGTCTAAGGTCAGGGTTTGGGGTTCGGGGTTTTGGCGCGATATGTAATTGAGTTGTTGTTGTTATGTTGAGAGTGCAGTGGTCGCTTCAAGTAAAAGCCCAAATCCAACTTTCATGCGAAGCTGGTGAGCCAGCCTTGCTCGAGTTTGCTGTGCAGCTTCCCGTGAGCCTAGCCAAAAACATTTACCCAAACACCCCCAAGCAACACCAAACCCCCAAACCCTCAATCTAACCGTAAATCTCTTATCATCTTTGCACACCCTAAACCCTAAATACCCCTGATTCTGAAACCCTGACCCAAGCCCAGACGTGAAGCAAGCGCTCAGGAGTGCGGGCAGACATTCAGCGCCTTCTTCGACAAGCCTCTGAGCACCTACGCCGCTCGACGAGCTACCGGATGAGGGTTCGGCTTGGGGTTTAGGGTTTAGGTCGAGGGTTTAGGTCGGCTTGGGGTTGGGGCTTTAGGGATCCCACCCAAAAGCCAAAACCCTCAACCCTAAACCCGAAACCCTAAGCCCTAAACCCTAAAGCCAAAACCCTAAACTCTACGGCTCAAAATAGTCCAAAAGCCCTGAAAAGTCTGGTATGTGGCCCCAAAAGCTTCCAAACCTGAGGGTAATGTGGAGGCTTTCATAATTACCTCGACTATTCTGGGGCTCCTTGGTATAATTGTGGTGTAATGTACCCTAAACCCTAAACCCTAAACCCTAAACCCTAAACCCTAAACCCTAAACCCTAAACCAAACCCTATTCTAATTCTTAAGGCCTCGACAGTATGTATACCGGTGTACCAGAAGGAAAGCGGACTATCAGGTCTCAGGGTATCGGTTGAGTGCTGTGGGGTTTAAGGCTTTTTTGGGTGGCATTCGGCTTTGAGGGTTTTGGGTTAATTTTTAGGGCTTTCGGGTTTTAGGGTTTAGGCTTTAGGGTTGATTTTTAGGGTTTGCGGGTTTTAGGGTTTAGGGTTTAAGGTTTAGGGAGATCGAGCAGACCTGCTCCTTCAATACTTGAGACTGTGTGGCCAAGGGGTGTCAGCGTTGCAGAACACACGGGTTGGAGGCTAATGTGATGGGTGCGTTGTAGGGGTGACAGTGAGCTCCCATTCACTCGATGGTGCCAGGGTAGACAAGCAATTCCGTCTGCACTTTAAGGGTGGGACACCGCGAACTCGAAATCCAAGCAAGGAATTCCATGCTTTACCCCCGCCCCCGCTCAAACAAAATCAAAAACATCGATACTTACCCGATAGCTACCCAAGATCCATCCCAATCTTACAAGCCCTCCAAGCCTGCGAGGCCACTAAACCCTAATTCCCTAGACCCTAAACCCGAACCCCTAAACCCCTAAACCCCTGGAC